TTGCAAGTGGAATGGGAAAACAGAGCTGAACAAACTAAACTGGCTGAGCATTTTACAGCCAGGTATAGAAGGTCCCTGGAGATAACATCTAGGCTCCAGTTGTATTTCAGCTCCAGGCCCAGAAAAGCAGCAAAACCAGGTGGGCTACAATGACTAATAACCCCCTGGAGCTGGCCAATCAGTGGAGACCACGACCCTGAAAGGACTCACCTGGAAAATCTGATTTGGGAGCGTGCCCATGCCTTTTCCTTCCCTCCCTTTTTCCTAAACTCTAAGCATCCCCATGAGACTTGAAACTGAGTCCATAATTCATCCTCCGCTAACCCCCTGACCCTGTCTCCAAAGCCCCCTTTTCTCTGACTTCCCAGTGAGCCAAAGCAGCCCTGCCTGGGCTCATTTCTTTCCTGTAATATTTCTTGGAAGCCACAGCAGCCTCACCTAGGTTCTCTCCTCTTGCTTCTTCTGTCCTAAGACCTTGCTTTGTTTCACTGTCCCCAGCTGTAATAAACATACTCCCAAAATCACCGGGAGCATTGACCCATGAACTAAGAGGTCACTGGTTTGATTCCCGGTCAGGGCACTTGCCTGGGTTGTGGACTCAATCCCCAGAAGGGGGTATACAAGAGGCAGCCAATGGATGTTTCTCTCTCGTTGATGTTTCTATCTCTCTCTCCCTTCTCCCTTCCTCTCTCTAAAAAGAGAAAAATTAAAAAATCATCTGGACTCGTCTTGTGAAATCTTTCCTGCACAAAGTCAAGAACTCCACAGTGCTGCCAGCCCTAGTCAGGCCTGCTTCGGGCAGTCCTCTTTCCGAATCTGTGGCTTACGTTTTAGTGTATGCTATGTGACATAACATTAACGGTAATCCTGCCAAATAGATGTTGCCATTTTATAAATGGAGATCACAGTTACTGTACTTCGGATTCTGCATTTCAGCTGAGCTCTCTTCAAAACCCACAGTCTTTCTACATATTGTTTTTCTTGAATAACAGGGCACTGGAAAACCTAAGATAAAGACTACATGTCACTCATTTTCTCCAGCATATTACTAATGAATTTTTTATGAGGCTGTATTGATAGTAACCCTCCCTGAGACATCTAATCCAGAGCTAAGGTGTGTTATTGTTTCTGTGTGAGGGGTCTGTCACTTATGCACCGTGTTCAGAGTTCATATTGATTCTTCTAAGGTTGTGTTAGGTAGTGGAATATTCAGTTAGGAAAAACTATTTTTTCTTCTGGGAAATGATCATATTTTGAATCGGGAGAATGTGAGGAGAAAACATAACTATTCAAACAACTAAAACCCGTGTCAATACAAATTTACTGATTGTTGTCATTTTCAGATAAAGGGTTTCATGACTCCTTATGACTCCTGTGTCTCTAGGCTTGTAAGAAAGTTTTCAAATGATTTCTTCAGTCTTAGAAGCTAACAAGATGAAGAAAAAGCCCACAAGGCTTACATGCCACAATGCTGATGAGTTTAGTAGTCATACTTTCCTTTTATTCATCTGTTTCTCTGATTATTTTGATGTCTTTTTGCCAGGTGGTATATTTGTCTGCCGAGAACTTATAGAACTCACAGAGTGGAATTTGAACGAACATATCTGCACAAAGTACTGGGAGATGCTATAAAACAAACAGAAACCTTCCTGGGGGAATTTCAAGAATGTTGTGAATTTTAAAAATAGAAGTAACTGTGTCTCTTGTTCTGGTTTCTGCTCTTTGCCCTATGATATTATCTTTCCTTTTGGCTTTTCTTTTTTATTTTTTAAGATTTTTAAAATTTTTTTATTTTTAGAGATGGAGGAAGGGAGAGGGAAAGACACAGAGAGAGAAACATTGATATTAGTGACATTCGATCTGCTGCCCCCTGCACGCCTCCTACCCCCTCCTACCCGAGCTGGCAACTCGCCTATGCCCTGAAGGGGAATTGAACAAGCAATCCCCACCCCCACCCCACCCTGCAGAGGAGAACCCCAGCCAACTGAGCCACTTCGGCCAGGGCCTTCTTTTTGGCTTTTTCAAGATGTGACCTTCTTCATCTTGAATTTGGTTTGTTTTCTGTTGAGTATCAGGTGGTTAATGACAAGTAAACACTACATATGTGTCATAGGAAAGTTGGCAAAAAAAATTACTTTTCCATTTTTGATGTGGCCGCCTTAAATGCCTTCACAGCTTATTCCATGGTTTGCCTTTTCTGGCGAGTGTCAAGTACAATGACACATACAAAACTTTTAAGTACTCAGTAATCACTTGCTATTATTACATTAGTTTCTCCTGCATTTGACTCTCTCCCTTTTCTGGTTGAAGGCTATTAACTTTCACTTCATATATTCTCTCCAGGGTTTGCTACCTTTTACATCAATGCTGATGAAACCCTACCATGCACTAGCATTTGCTTTCTGTCAGTTTATTTTTCACCTATGAGGAAGCCACTATATACTTTTATTTAAAACAAAACTTAATTTTTATCCAACTAGGTTTCCAAATATTGCTAAAAATAGACCAAAGACTGGAGCCAATTCGTCAGTGAAAAATGCTTGGGACTCTACTTCGCTTCCTAAGGGGCACCACCTTTCCCCCTGTTGTTTAAAGAAAGTAGAACCAGAATGATAATAAGAGAGAGAGAGAGAGTACAACTACCATATGTCAGGCACAGTGCCTAGCTGTTTAGTACACATTATAGAATGTATTATCCCCATTTTACACTGGAGTCTTGTGGCACCTGCCTGGTGACTGAGAAAGAAGGTGGTTGGCTCAGGGAAAGACCAGGCCCCTTCTGTCTTTTGAACGAGTCAACATTACTTTAGTCATGTGAATTCTGTTGCCACTAGGTGGCAAGACAGAGGCAAGAATTCTAGACAGATTTAAGGAAACCTTTGAAGCAGTGGTCGCCAACCGGTGGTCCGCTGACCACTGGTGGTCCATGAAGTCCGAAAGGTTGGCAACCACTGATCTATAAGATTAGGAAGACTGGTCAGCCCATACCTGCAGGGTTTGGAAGGTAACAAGAGGCCAGTCAGGGTGCTACAAGGAAAGAATTGGGGCCCTAGAGTTTATTTCTTTGTTACCTCTTTTAATTCTACCTCTGGTGATGAAATTTCTGGTAATGGAATTTATTACTTAGCATGTGTCATCTTAGAGGCACGAGTCATAAAATCTTAGCCATCACAAACTTTGCAAAGCTCTGCCTTCAGGGAGACTTTATAGATGCACAATTAGAGGGCCAGAGAAATTGGCTTTTGCAAGACCTCATAGCAAGTCACTGGCTGGACTTAACTCTTGAATTCCATTTCTTTGCCAATTAAGGTATTGTTTTGAGTGCGGTCTATTTATGGGACAAATTAGAATCTGGAGGATGTTCCAAATTCTACTAGCTGGTTATTCATAATCCTGAATGTAGGTCCTATTCATCCACAACCAAACACTGCTAGTCAACAATCAGTAATGACCAAACTTGCCAGTCCTGTAACTGTAAGAAAATGACCTTTATTAGGTCATCACTTAACAGGCAAAACTATAACAGCATAGCGGCTTCAGCACTGTGATACTTACAGGCTTGTGAGGATTAAAGGAGAAAGCCTGCATGTGTGGCTGGCCTATAATCTAGTACAATACCTGGAATTAATTTAATGTTTTCCCCTCTGCATCTGCCCCCTCCCTAGTAAATCTTTGCATATGTTTGTCTCTTGTCTTGCAAATGTATTGGTTTTCTGGGGATACTGATGATCAGTTGGAACCAGAGTCCTGAAGTGGGAGAGAACACTTCCTTCTCAAGAGCCCACCCTTTTAAACTGTCTTCTTTTTCTTTGTCATAGCAATGGGCTTCTAAAAAGTAGTGTTACCATGGGAACTGAATATGTAAATACTCTTTCAGTTATTTTGAGGAGAGTAGTCAGTAACTATGCTTTCAAATAGTGAGTTTCAAAAATGTTAACTACAACCCAGTACAGTATGGCGGGTACACATGCATGCGTGTGTGTGTGTTTGTGTCTGAAATAGATCTTCTCCCGTGTGCTTATACACGTGGCTATTTACTATTGGACCCACTAAATGGATAGGATCACAGTTTGAAAAAATCTTCTTCCTTAGAGAAAAAAATAGTAAGAAAGCATTCTTTTAAGCTTTATTTTCTCTCTTAACTGAAGACTTTCTAGGTTGGCAATATCCAGGGCCGCATTTAAAATGAGAAGGTTATATAGCTCTTGAGAGATGTAGCATTGGGTCCTAGGCCTTGGTGCTTCAAATAGTATTTAGGGGCACTGACATTTTTGTCAGCTCATCCCACACTTACTTGTGTCATCACGATGATTAAAGCAAGGCAGTGAGAACAGAAAGAAAATGCAACGTAAGTACTGTGACTCACAGCTGACATTTTTGCTAAAACTTTTACTCACCCTGCATGTCTTTTGTGGGTGAATTCTAACCTTATTTCTTGCAGTTCTTGGATCAGTGGGCTTGTGTTAAGTCACATCGCCTAACAAATCCACTCGAGACAACCTTAGCAATTCAGGTGTGAACTGTTGAAGGAAACACCTGCTGCCCTAGCTGCTGATGGAGTAGGGCAGCAATACTGATGGGTGCCTTCTTGTTCATAACGGTGTGTGTGATCTTATTTGGGCCTCAGAGAAAAGATGAAATTGTCGTCTTTATTCAAAACACCCACCACCACCACCAAAAAACAAACAAGCAAACGAAACCCAAGGATTCAAGAGTCTTGCTATCCTACTATGTAGCTAGTAGATGAGAATAAAGCTTCAACACAGTTCTGCCTTACTACTAAAAACCTTGATTTCCAAAATCCTTTGTAATATGTAATTAAAAGTGTCAGTGTCAAGAGTACCTTTGTTGTGGATTAATACTAAATAGGAATTCTTTGGGGGAGAAATTAGTTTGAAGAGTATAGCACAAGAAGTGCATCATTGTTTAAAGGCAAGTGACTCTTTCATCTTGACATTGACCTTCAAATATTTATGAAGTCCTCACTGAAGGAACATTGATATAGTCCCCACAAATATGTTTTTCTTTTCCTCTGTGCAGCAAACCTGGAAGCCTGTGCTAAATGCCCACCATCTTTGCTGTTTTTCTTCTGAAGAAACCTGTGAAGTAAGGGGGCAGGTGGTGTCATTGTTGGCAACACTGAGGTCAAAAGTCTGTGTGAGAGTTTAAATGAGAACTCAGGTCTTCAGCCTGCCCACTGCTATGCAGAAGCATTAACTTCATGTGGGCAGAGTAACTGAATGTTTTAAGTCAAGGCCACATGTCACAAATGGCAAAGGGAGAGAACCACATTGCATTTGCTTCTTGGGCTTAGAATGCAACCACACCAAGACTGTTTTGTCAGTGTTCTATAAAGGGACCCCATAAGGGAAAAATTAAGTTAAGTTCTGCACTTACTGGGTATTTCACAAAGCCAGTAAGTAGTCAACTCAATAGGTAGAAATATTTTTTAAGTCATGACTTTTCTTTATGTCCTCGTTTTTATTAAAGCTTTGGTAAGCACTTAATTTGCATGTGACCCAATGAAGTGTGCTGTGTAAATAAACACCGGACTAGATATAGTTTCTAAATGTGTTTGGCCTCATCCAGCTGAAATTCTTGATTCTTCAGAAGATGAAAGAAAAAGGACAAGGGTGAGTAGGGCATTTACATTATATAAACATCAAAAGGCTGATTAAATAAGAATGGGTAGTTTATTGAGAGCTTCCTATGTCCCATGCAGTGTTCAAAATGTTTTACACATTTTATCTCATGTGGGATTTTTATCTCATAATCCCAGTGAAGATAGATACCATTATTATTCCAATTTTTTACAGATGAGAAAACCAAGCCACTGATAGTTTAGCTTAATATTTTTTTTTTCCGTTTCTGCGGGTTTATTATGTTACATAGAAACTATTTCAGTTACAAAAACACAGGGACCTAATGGCTACACGTGACCGGCTGCCGCGCCCTCCCCTCCGGTCACTGCAACCCTGGACTGTGACCCGTGGCTTCCAGTGCAGAATAAACGTCCCACTGAATTACTTATGTTTGAGGTGGATAAACAATAAAGGTGGTTTCGTGGCATGGCTTAACACGGCAGATGCTTAGCAATGTTGTGCGGCCGTCTCCCTGATCATTCCCCAATTTCTGGGGGGACGCAACCTCCCCAGTGGGGAGCCCAGGGCGATGCCGGGGACTCCCAGGCTTAAAGGGGCAGCGGGTGGGCCTGGCTCAGCCGGTCCGCTGGCAGGTGCAGGTGGGCTCCCTCTGCCCGGAGCACGCTTTCCACCTGGTGCCTTGGGCCTTCAGCCTTCTGCCTCCTTGCCCAGCCTTCCGGGCCTTCTGAAGGCACCCAACCCCCCCTCTCCACCCCCCACCCTCACCCCCAGTGCTGCCACAGGGCGTGGCTACCACGAGTTTAGCTTAATATTGAGGGTCATATTTTGATAAGTGGTGGAACAAGTATGATCTGACTTGAGATCCTATGCTATTTTTTTTATTTTTTATTAATCATTGATCAGCTGCCTCCTGCATGCTCCACACTGGGGACCGGAGCCTGCAACCTGGGCATGTGCCCTGACCTCTTGGTGCATGGGTTGATGCTCAATCATGAGCTACACTAGCTGGGTCATTTCTCTTCTTCAGGATCTAATAAGTAAGGGATAGTAAGGTGTGCCTAGCCATGTCCACTCCTGGCATACTCATGCAGGCCCACACAATGTGTTTTGCTGAAGAGCACCATGGTAGGAAGGAAGGTTAGGCATGCCTGATCACAGGAGGCCATTTGTCCCTTGTCGAATGACTTTTGCTGTGTGCATGTTAAACTGCTGGTAGCCAGGCTATGACTTCCCAAGGGGACTACCTGTATTAGGATTCTCCAGAGAACAGAACCAATAGGATTTGTGAGTGTGTGTGTCCATGTGCATGTGCGCACACATGTACACACACAAGTATTTTATGAGGAATTGGCGAATGTGTTTATGGGGCTTGGCAAGCCCAGATCTGCACTGTGGGCCAGCAGGTTCCAGACCCAGGAGAGCCAGTGGTCCAGATTGAAGTCCAAAGGTAGTCTGCTTGAGAATTTTCTCTTGTTCAGGCAGGCTGGGCTTTTTGGTTTATTCTTTCTCAACTGATTGAATGAGACCTGTCCACATTAATGAGAGCAATCTGCTTACTCAGAGTTCACCGATTTAAATCTTAATCTCATCCAGAAAGTCCCTGCAGTTGATGCATGGAATTAGCCATCACAGCCCCTCTATGGGATATGCTTATGGGGGCCATGTGTTGAACCCACCCCAGCCTCAGAATTTCTCTTAAATGCCAACATGTTTTAGTTAAATGTGTTAGGTAGAAATTCTATAACCTGTCGGAATTGAATTAATGGATAAGGGAACACTTTAAAAATTGTGGAGCAGTTTATAAATGCAAGGAATTTAGGGAAGTGGTGAGTGAAGAGGGTGTGGGGTAGAGTTTAGTTGGATGGCTTGCCACCTGTCATGAGGATTATAGTTTGGCAAGAGAACAATAACCCCCCCTTTTTTTTTCGACTGCCCTACACGGTGCAGCGGGGACCTTCTTAGAACCTTCTCTTAGATCTACATGAAAATCCCATCGCTGTTCTGTGGGAGAATGGCTTGGTATGGGGCCTTTGGAACTCAGGTTCTGCTGTGCAGCCATTGAGTTCTCACCGACTCTCACTGCTGCAGGCTCTTTAGAGGACTCCTTGTGGTGTTGGCAACCCATGGGTTGAAGAATTGGATGGATGAAAAATATAATTTGTTTACATAGCAGCTATCTTTTGAGCCATATTATCTCCTATCAACCTTGGAACAATATAATAAAGTAGAGGGGGTGAGTATTGCTAATTATACTTTCAGCTAGAGCAGCTACAAGTCAGTGTAGGACAGTATTTTTGCATCTAATTGCTTAGTAAATATTTAGTTTAAAAGAAATCGTATTAGTTCTGTATTCTTTCTTTTTCTTACCTCTGATTTTCTGGCAACTCACATTTGAGTGCTTAGTATGTGAAGAATGTTATGTTATTCTTTTAGGTGAAATTAAGCAAATAGTATGTAGATCTGCTCCTTGAGGGATTTTTAATGAGATTAATTTATATCAATATCACATTGGAAATAAAGGGCTTAACACTAAATATTATATATCACTAAATAATACATAGAGCATTTTTTAATAACTTAAATCTTTCATAGTGTTTTACAGAGTAAGCCTTTCTTCAGTTCAACTTGCAGAAATGGTGGTGTTTTTATTTTCCAGTGAACTCTTACAACAAAATGTTCATTAATTAAAAATAGCTGCCTGATACAGGAAACAGCTCATATAGCAGCTTCTGACACGGTTCTAAAAACAGACTTGAGCTGCTTGCGTGCTAAACAGGAATGAACAATGAAAACTGTATGAACAAATTCAGGTAAAAGCATGCTGTGTTTTAAGAAGGATTTTTATGTGCCTTTACATTAATGTTTTTCTGATTATAAGACTCATATGTGCTTACTATTTATTATAGCAATATATAATGTAGAAAGTGAAATTCCCATCCAAATTGTGATGTCTGTATAGCCTGATTTTTTTCCCTACACATATACAAACAGTATATAATTATTTCAAAAATGGAATTATGTTTTCTTCAACTCGGTTTTTCTTTTATATAGTATTAGGAATTCTCCACATCAAATCTCTGGAATGGTTCTTCCTTTCTTTTATTATCTCTCTTAAGGCAGCATATTTTGGGGGGGGGGGGAGCTTTTGTATATTTTATTGATTTTTTACAGAGAGGAAGGGAGAAGGAAAGGGATAGTTAGAAACATCGATGAGAGAGAAACATCGATCAGCTGCCTCCTGCACACCCCCTATTGGGGATGTACCCACAACCAAGGTACATGCCCTTGACCGGAATCGAACCTGGGACCCTTCAGTCCACAGGCCGACGCTCTATCCACTGAGCCAAACTGGCTAGGGCAAGGCAGCATATTATTTCACTGTATAGGTGTACGACACTTTGAGCCAGTTCCCTATTAATAGACTTGTGATTTGATACTCTTATATTATAATTTTTTTTCTTGAAAGTTCTTTTTAGGGCAGATAAACTTATAATTTAACAAATGTAACATGTTGATATATAATATCGAGAGTTTACTATGAGCCTGGAACTTTTTAAGCTCTATTCAGTGAAAATTAGAAGAATCGTTCTACCCTCTGAGGGGCTCACTATTATCGCCCCTGTTCTCGAGATGCAGGAAGCCCCAGGCTCCCCGTATGCCAGCGTGGTGCCCATAGGATGGACTGCAAGACCTGGTGCCTGGGTCAGGCAAGTGAGGGCCTTTAGATCCAAAGCAGCTAAGCAGGAGGACAGCAGCTTCATCAGCATAAGAGATAGCAGAGTTTACAAATTTTTATTGAAGCTACTGATGTTAAAAAATCTTTGCTGGTTGCCATAACAACAGGCTTTGGAAGAACTGTCATCTTAACCCTTGTAACTGTGCCTTGAGGAGTCCCTGGCTATTTCCACAGATGGCTTCTGTGTATCCCCTCCTGACTTTCAAATTCCTGTTGTTAATTTACCTGATCTACAGGGCCTTTCCTTGGATTTGTCTGTACCCCTCATGTCCTTGCTGAGCACCAAGAGATGCCAGTCAGCTGAGGTCGCCCAGCCTTGGCCAGTCCCCTGATACCCTGTGGAGCTGCTCATTGCTTTCTACTGAAAATGAAAACTCTTAATTTTGTTTTTTTAGAGAGAGGAAGAAAGAGACAGAGAGACAGAGAGAAGGAGAGACATCGATTGGTTGCCTCTTATACACGCACCAACCGGGGACTGAACCTGAACTATAGGTATGGGACCGGAACTGAACACTCAACCCTTTGCTGTACAGGACGATGCTGAGCCACACCAGCCAGGACAAAAACTCTTAACTTTTGTCATTATTTTTGACTCTAAGATCTGTCTCTAGCATAGACTCTAAGAGAAGTCTCCTGAGATTTAGAAAGTATATTTCATTTGCTTAAATGATTGTTAAATTGGTCCTAGGTATAATGCATTAAATGTTTGGCAGGAAAAAAAATGTTTATTTCACATTATATTGCTTCATAAATAACTAATTTATCATGACTAGAGAGAATTGAAGTTCAAAATATACCCAAAGGGGCCTGTGTTCTGGCTATTTTTTGCAGTTTAATAAACCATTCCAACGTGTAATAGCTTAAACCAGCAATTTGTAACCTCGGGATTCAGTGGGTTGACCAGGAAGTTCTGTTTCATGTGATGTTGGCTGGATGCTGGAATGGCTGTTGTCCTCTGAGGCTTGGCGAAGAGCTCAGCGGGACCCAGCGGCTGCTTGGGTTGCCTTGTGGTGTCTGGATTCCACAAGGGAAGAGGTGAATGCTGCCCAACCAGTTAAGGGCTAAGCCCAGAATTGGCGCTGCATCGTTTCTGCCATATTTTAATGGTCTAAGCAGTAATAGGCCCAACCCAAAGTCAGTGTGAGAAGGGACTATGCAAAGACATGAATACTCAGAAGTGCAGTTTGTTGGAGGTAGTCACCAAAATAACGGTTGACCAGGGTGTGTGCTCTCTGGCCCCTCACACATGTAAACTGTGCTGACCTCCACACAAGACCTTTACAATCTCACCTCATTACTACATCAGCTTAGTTCAGGATTAGTCTAAATCAGGTCAAAGAGCTGATGAGGCTCTTTCGGTACAGCTAATCTCAACTGAACACCTGGGAACTAAAGCGACAAACTGGGAACTAAAGGGACAAACTACACTATGGGGTTGCCTGTTCGATCCCTGTCAGGGTGCATGCCCAGGCTGTAGGCTCGATCCCCAGTAGAGGACATGCAGGAGGCAGCAGGTCAATGTTTCTCCCTCACTTTGATAACATTGATGTTTCTCTCTCCCTCTCCCTTCCTCTCTCTCTAAAAATCAATAAAAACATTTTTATTTAAAAAAAAAAAAAGATGAAATCACTTTAGAAACAGTCTGGCAGTTTCACAAAATGTTAAAACATAAGAGTTGTAAGAGAGTTGTCATAGTACCCAGCAATTTCATACCTAAGCATAAACCCAAGAGAAAGGAAATCATGTATCCATACAAAACTTGTACATGAATGTTCATGGTGACATTGTAAGAGCCAAAAGGTGGAAACAACTCAAATATCCATCAACTGAAGAACAGATAAATGACATTTAGGATATCCATACAATGGAATGAGGTACTAATACATATTACAGTATGGATGAACCTTTAAAATACAATAAGTGAAAGAAGCCAGCCACAGACAGTCACATCTTGTATGATTCCATTTATACCTAGAATAGGCAAATCAATAGAGACAGAAAGTAGATTAGTGATTTCTGAGGGCTGTGTGAGGGAGAGCTTAATAACTAAAGTGTACAGGTTTCTTTTGGAGGTGATAAAATGTTCTAAAAGTAACTGATTGTATGTATCTGAATTTACTAAAAATCTTTGAATTGCAAACTTGGGGTGAATTGTATGGTATGTGAATTTTTAAAAAGGGCAGAAGGGGGGACATGGGAGGCACCCATAGGCAGCTCTAAAACCCAGCTAGGTATATGTGGTTCCTTGTTTAGGGGCCAGTTTGTATGGCTCTTATCTCCACCCTCTAGGTTCTGGGCTGTATTTTCTGACTCTTCTTACTTTTTCACAAGAAATGGTTCATGTTTGCAGCCTCTTTGCATCTGCATAAGGCACTGATATTTTTTATCTTGAACTGTTTCTGTCTTTTCAGTCCAGGCTGATAATGCTTCCACGGATACATTTCTCAAAGTCTTTGTGGGTTTTCCCATGTATCTTTTTGGGGTTCACAGCATTAGAGAAAAACCATTTCCACAAATCTCTTTGAGACAGAACTCTCTCTCTACCTTGGACTACCTTTAAGTCAATGTTGTGTGAAAATACCTTTAAGATTCTTAGAAGCTCTAGTGTCTGGTAGAGATAGTCCTTAAGATGGATCCTTAAAATTCTTTCAAGCCTGTTGGTCTACCTCTGATTTGCAAAGTGTGGTGCCTGTACCACCAGCATTAGCATCATCTGGGAATTGAAATTGACTACAGAGGTCAGACCCATTTTAGATTTGCTGAATCAAACTGTAAGGATCCAGCCCAGCAACCTGGGTTTCAGCAACCCCGGAGCTATGTCTGACACACATGAAGTTTTAGAACCACTGGTCTAAATGGAGAGAGTCTATGAGGAACCACTTAAAATCTTTATGAGGCTCAACAAAGGGCTGTGCAACCACATCCTTGAGGACACAGGATTTGATCTTTGCCCTGAGCTATTTCTTATTTTGTGCGTCATTTGCTAAGATACTGAAATGAGGAATAGTTTTATTTAGGAACCTATCAAGTTCAACTCCTTTATGTTTATTTCCTCTAAATTCTGCTTGGAAGGGAACCGAACGGTTTCTTTTTTGTTCATCCCACTACTCCTGTATTTTATCACAGGCAGCTAAGAAAAGCCAGTTGGTACTTTCAACATTTTTCCTGGAATTCTCCTTAGATCCATGAACTGGATAACTTTCAACCCTCCACATTACTGCACGCAGTGGGTGTACTAATTATTCTGCTGTACATAATGTAGGTTCCCTTTCTTCAGCCACCAATAACATTTCTTCACTTTTCCAAATCTTTATTAACAGTCACCTCCATCTTCTGCCCACCACTGGGATCCAAAGCCAGTACATATTTTAGGTTTTTGTGACAGTGGAACCCCAATTCTGGTACCAAATTTTGTTTCAGTAATCTATTGCTGCATAACAAAACAACACCAAAATTATTGGCTTAAGAAAACATTTATCTTGCTCACAATTTTGAGATTTGACCAGGGTTTGATAAGGATGGCTCCTCTCTGGCCTGCGTGTTGTCAGCTGGGAGAGCTCGATTAGGACTGTAGGATTTATTTCAAGATAGCTCACTTAGACAGCTGGCAAGTTGGTGCTTGCCGATGTCAGCTGGGATTTTAGCTGAAGTCGTCAGCTGGGACCTTGATGCTCCTTCATGTAGGCTGCTTGAACCTTCTCACAGTATGGCATCTGGATTCCAAAGTGGAGGAAGCAGAAGTTGCCAGGCCCCTTAAAGTGTTAGCCTAGAACTGGTGCAATGTCATTTCTGCCCTTTGCTGTTGGACAAACCGTCATAGACCCTGCCCAGATTCTAGGAGGTGGAGAAGTAGACCTCACCTCTTGGGAGTAGTGACAGGATTTGTGGCTGTCATTCACCCTCTGTAATCTGTTAAGGTTTTTTTCTTTGTGTTGTGTGTGTGTTTTTTAAATACTGAAAAGGCACTCTTGGCTACAGTTAGGAGTTGGTGAAAAGTAATTTGTTCATCACTTGAAGAAAGGGTCAAACTCTAGAAGGAGGTTTAAAAGAAAACATTTATATAGACAGAACCTCTCAATATCTGGACATTTTAAATGTTATATTTCACTGGTGGACAGAAGTCATTTTTTCTGTTTTCTTTTGGGTAGAATTACATTTTTAAATTCCTCATCATCGTAATCATACTCTTCAGCTTTGGTTGTGTCAAGATTTCTGTGTGACGGGGACATCTAAATGCATTATGTATCTTATTTGGTCTTAACACTGAACTGTTTTATTTTTAGTAAAGGTTGCCTCATACTGTATGTTACTGAATGCAGAGAAATAGTCCCCTTCCACAGACTCCATTTCTTAAAATACAGACTAAATGCTGTTTAAGAGTTGTGGACAACGAAAGGCGGGCTCTGTATACATTGTAGAAATGATTGTGGTAAAGGCAGTGGGCGATAATGGGATGAAAGAATTCCAAGGTTTTCTGTCATTGGGAGCTTCTGTGTGCAGCTGTCTCTACTTTGGCACGAGAGGACAAAACAGGTGGCAGCAGGAGTTGGCTTCTACTGTTGTTTACTCACCCGAATGGTCTATTACAGTGGTCGGCAAACCGCGGCCCGTGAGTCACATGCGGCTCTTTGGCCCCTTGAGTGTGGCTCTTCCACAAAATACCATGTGCGGGCGTGCACGTACAGTGCAATTGAAACTTTGTGGCCCATTCGCAGAAGTCGGTTCTCGGCCTGGATGAAACAAGTATACAAGACGAGTGTGGATGGGAGAGTTGGAAAGGGTCGACCTCAGCGAACGTACCTCAATCAGATTGAGGACGTTTTTAGCAAAGGCCAGCTTAGGAGTACCCTAATTAAGTTAATAACAATGTACCTACCTATATAGTTTAAGTTTAAAAAATTTGGCTCTCAAAAGAAATTTCAATCGTTGTACTATTGATATTTGGCTCTGTTGACTAATGTGTTTGCCGACCACTGGTCTATTAGGTTAGCTCATACAGGCTAGTAAATGGCTTCCTGAATTTGTTAAGCACTTATATTAGTAAATGTTTCCCTATCCAGTTTTATGCTCTATTTAAAAAAATCAAATTAATGCTGTATTACAATAGGGATTCAATGGTGTTTAAATACATCCTGTAGCTTTAAGATTCATAGAATCTGACAGATATTCAATCTTTGACCTTTAACTTTGGTTCCTGTTTTTAGCTTTGGTTTCATGCTTTTGAGTTTGGTTACTAGTATACGTTATCATGTGGCACCAATAAGTTGTTCAGTATTGAGGTAATTTGAATATTTTTCTTTCATTTGATTGTAAAAATGTTTTTGGGGCAGCATTAGTTTTGCTTACTTGCTTTTAGTTTTACTCTCTCACATCTGAATAGTTGTTAAGTGTTACTAATAACATACTTCCTCCTTTTCTGTCTCTCTCATTGGTTCTTCTACTTACGTTTTTCTTCTTTATTCTACTCATATCCTACCACGTCTGGTGGTGAGACATATTTAGCAGTGAGATTATGGGTAGTGGGGATGAAATGATTAAGATACACGTGTTTGATTTTGTATGAGAAGTCCTCCCAGCTTCTTCTTGATTCTCTCCATCCACTGTCAAACTTGCTTGGCATGATATCATGACCAATAGTTTAGAAAATGATGTCCACACTCTTGGTTTTCAGAAATTATCTTCTGTTGTCTCCCCACAAATTATAATTCCGTTTGCTTTGGGATATCCTCAGTACGTGCTCATCAAGCAATTATTGTGTGAACCAGTAAAGCATCTAGGAAACATAGAGGTGAACAGAAATGGTCACTATTATTTGCTCTTCAGTGTCCAGTCTTCATATTCTTTCTCAGTCAGATTTGAAAACTGGACATGTTTTCTGAAGGCTTGGATTGCACACTTGTAGAATGTTGGTGGGTGGAGGGGATTCTGTGAGTTATTTTGGTCCTCTCAGGCCTTCACAACTGTATTTCACTCATCATCAATAGGACCTTCCTTATTTCAAGGTCTGTACAACCTACTTACTGCATTATCATTATTTTGAGCTCCAATTGTTACAAATGTATTCTTGGATATGTTAAAAAATTGTCCTTTGTTTCCCTTGGGTAGATATATAACCTCCTGATTATCTTCTAGGTATTTTCACAGGATTCTCATTTCTGGGCTAAATAATTTTAATCCCTTTGATTTTTCTCATATCCCACTTTCCCCATAGCTTCAGTAAATTGTCTAAATAGTTAATATTAATACATTTATTATTCAACAGAATTATTTTTCTACTTGACCTTCCTTCTGTAAATAGCTAAGCAGCAAAATTCATAAAGCATTATTTTTTACCACTACTCTTTAAATATATCATTTATAAAGTTATGTAATTGCAGTTATATAATTTAGAACCCTAATCTTGCACTATAACTGCACATGTAATGAACAGGTTTGATACATAGACTAAACATA